CCCCCCAATTTATGTTATTAGACTATTTATTAATTTCATTTCATAGGAAATAATATGCGCAAAATACACTTCTTTTTTATGAGGTCCAACGACCATGACCTCTGGCTCTTGAAGCAGGTTCATTTCTAGCAGTTAAATTAAATAAATGCTCCTTTATATAATTACAGAATTTGCTGGAAATTGTGCCCACATTTAGGAGCTGGCTTCAGTTTATTTGTATCTTGACTTTCTATATACTCTTGTTTTTTGGGCCGGTGCGGTGGCTAAGGCCTGTAATCCCAGCACTTTGGGAGCCAGAGACGGGGCGATTCACGACGGTCAGGAGATCGAGACTATTCCCTGGCTAACCACTGGGAAACCCCGTCTCTACTAAAAAAATACAAAAAAGACTAGCTGGGCGAGGTGCGGAGGCCTGTAGTCCCAGCTACTCGGGAGGCTGAGGCAGGAGAATGGCGGGAACCCGGGAAGCGGAGCTTGCAGTGAGCTGAGATCCGGCCACTGCACTCCAGCCTGGGCAGACGGAGACAGACTCCATCTCAAAAAAAAAAAAAAAATTCTTGGTTTTTTTTCCCCCTGGAATTTCTAATTATCTTTCTTTCATCTTGCTGAGAGAAGAAACATGTTTTCTTTGCCATGTCACTGATATCATCTATTTCCATGGTCATGCTATTTTTTGTGTAAACTACATTTCGTTTTTCTTCCCGAAGATAGAATCAATGTTATACTTGAGACCCACTGACTCTCTCTTCTGATTTAGATTGTTCTGTAAACCCCATGCATAGCTGTCACTCTGAAATGACTTTTCATTCTACTCCTGGGCGAGTTCTACTCTTTCTTGTATTCCATATCTTCCTTTTTGTTGGTTTGCACTTCACTTCTCTGGAATATCTCCAAAAGTATCTTCATCAGAAAAAACAGATGGGAGATGAAATTTCTGAGTACTTGAAAAATCTGAAAATGTCTTTAGTATGCCTTCACACTGATTTATAGTTAGGTGGAGTACAACATTCTATATTCAAACATTTTTTCCCTTAAGAACTGTGAAGGAATTGTTCCACTGTCTTTAGCATGGAGTATTACTAATAAGAAGCTTGGGCCGGGCACGGTGGCTCACGCCTATAATCCTAGCACTTTGGGAGACTGAAGTGAAAGGATCATTTGAGCCCAGGAGTTCACAACCAGCCTGGGCAACATGGCAAAATCCTGTCTTTACAAAAAATACCAAAAACTGGGTGTTGTGGCTCATGCTTGTAGTCCTAGCTATGCAGGAGGCTGAGGTGAGCAAGACCCTGTCTTGGAAGAAAAAATAAAAAGAAGCAGCAGCTTGATGCTGGTGTATTATTGTTCCTTGGTAGGTGACCTTTATTCTCTTCCTCTCTAGAGTCTTCCCATGTTCATTGCAACACTATTCACAATAGCCTAGATGTGGAAACAACCTACATGTCCATTGATAGATAAATGGATCAAGAAACTTTGGTATATACATAAAATGGAATATTATTCAGTCATAAGAAAGGAAATCCAGTCATTCGTGACAACATGGATGAATCTGGAGGACATTACGCTAAGTGAAATAAGCTAGTTGTCCATTTCTGTGGCAGGGAGTAGAATGGTGGCTGCCAGGGACCGAGGGAGGGGGAAATGGAGAGGGCTGTCCAGTGGGTGTAAAGGTTCAGTTATGCAAGATGATTAAGTTCTAGAGGTCTGCTGTATAGCATTGTGTTTACAGTTAATAGTACTGTAAACTTAAATTTTTTTCAGAAGGTAGGTCTTATGTGTTCTTACCACAGTAAAGAAAGTAATTAATTAACTTAAAAATCTCTTAATATTTAATGTTCCAAGATTTCATAATGTGGTGTCTAGTTGATCTTTTTTTCATTCATTTTGCCTGGCACTCATTTACGCCCTTCACTGGTAATAGTTACATCTTTCTTTAACTCTTGATGCGACATATATACATATATAGTGTGTGTGTGTGTGTACCCACATACATACTATAGCTTTAAAAGATATTTCATTCCTTGTTTTTTTCTTTTTGGAACTTCTATTTGCTGGATATAGGATCTTCTGGATTTATTCTCTTTGTTTCATCTTTCTTCTGACATTTTCTCTCTTTTCATCTTTTGCTTTATGTTGTAGAGGTTCTAGGCTGTCTTTCAACCCTTCTGATTTTTAAAATGTCAGCAATTATATGCTTAATTTCCAAGAACTCTTTCTTCTTTTGGATTTTTATTTTGGTTTGTGTGTGTGAAGTCAGGATAGGGTGTAGGAGTATCCAGTTGTAGTTTCTTGGAAGCAGTATCTTTTCAAATGTCTCTGAGATCACTAATTAAAAATTTAATTTTTTCTATTCCATAGATAATCTCTGTTCTTTTCTTAGGATAAATACTGTTTATCTTGGTCTTTCTCTTTTATGTTGCTTGTTTTCTTTCTTGTGATCTTTAGTTGTCCATCATATTTCAGAATGAGACTTCTAAGTAACTTTTAGAAGTTTCTTACTGTGATATATACAAGTCTGTTTTCCCATGGGATATCTGCCAGTAGTTGGGAGCTCTGTGTACATGGGCGGTGGACCCGGGGTGGCGGGGGGATTGGTGCGG